GGCATCATCCAAGGTTTTGAGGCTCCCCTTCACTTCCACAGAGTAATGGCAACCACAGTGGTGACTGCTCCAGTAATATAGTACAGTAGTGCATTAGACACAGTGCATTGGACAAAGTACCTGTCTGAGTTTAGGGCAGGATGGTGTAGTGTGGCAGGATACTTGGAGACAGGTGCCACAAAGAAGAAACCATCAGCATCAGAGTTGATCCACTGGAGCTATAGTGCTGAGGTTAAATGAAAAGTAAACAGAATTTCTTCCCTTACTTTCCCCCTTTCTCCCTCTTTTACTTTTGCTTAGTGTGGTATCCATCCATTCCTTGGTGCATTTTCCCTTTGCTCGGTGGTAACCAGCTCTACAAACCTGTCTTTGGAGCACTGCTCCCATCTATCCAGCCTTTTCTTTGTAAAGTCTCTTTCCCTCTCTCTTTGTCGTTTTAGCTCCTTTAAACTGCAGCAAGTTCATTTTCTGCAATACTACTTTATCCATCAGTAGTGTGTCTAATCTGCTTCAGCCTCTGTCTATTGTTGATGGGGAATAAACACTGTCATTACCATTCAGACAGTCACAGTCCCAAGGTCGAAAACAGTTCCCACACATGTAGCCCTCTCAGCTGTCCTGAGAGGGGACCCCTATGTGTTGCCTGAACTGGAATGAGGACTAGGCATTACAAAAGGTGCTTGAGACCCTATTTACCTGGAAAAGATTGCTTAAATGTAGTTACTGCGGCTGCTCCAGTCTCTCTCAGGGGGTTACATACAGGTATCTCCCCTATATGTTAACAAAACCATATTGACTTGTGTCCTGTTGTTTTCCACTAGTTCTCAAAACAGGTCTTTTCTTGTTCCGCTAGCAATGAAGATTCAATGAACCACACAACAGTAGTGGAATTTGTCCTCTTGGGACTGACCAACAGCCGCCATTTGGAGATCATCCTCTTTCTGATTCTGGTGATTGCCTACTTCTTGATCCTGTTTGGAAACATTACTGTCATCAGCGTCACTCTAGTGGACCATTTTCTTCAGACTCCAATGTACTTCTTCCTCAGGAATTTTGCCATTTTGGAAATCACATTCACCTCCACATTCATTCCTAGCACCCTCTACAGCCTTCTGACAGAGAGGAAAATAATTTCCCTGCCTGGCTGTTTTCTTCAGATGCTGCTTTTCTTTTGCTTGGGTACCTGCACTTTTTTCCACGTGGCGGCAATGTCCTTTGATCGGTATGTTGCCATCTGCCGCCCCTTGCACTACACGACTATTATGAACAACAGATTTTGCTTCCAATTGGTCCTGGCTTGCTGGGCAGTGAGTTTTCTCCTGATGTCTCCTCCCATCATTATGATTGCCCAGTTGCCTTTCTGTGGTCCCAATGTTCTGAACCACTTTTACTGTGATACTTCACAGTTGTTGCAGCTGTCCTGCACAGACACGTGGTTCATCGAAGGACTGCTGTTTATCCTATCGATTATCATTGTGCCAGGCACCTTAACAATAACTGTCATTTCATATGGTTGCATTATTATCACCATCCTACATATGCCATCTTCCTCAGGAAGGAAGAAAACGTTTTCCACTTGCTCAGCTCACCTTGTGGTGGTGACTGTATTTTACAGCACGTCTATTTATAGGTATAACCGCACAGCGCAACGGGGTGGGCAGGGCTCTGACAAAGTTCTTTCTTTCTTCTTCTCCGTGGTGACTCAGATGCTTAACCCATACATCTATTCACTCAGGAACAATCAAGTCAAACGAGCGTTGAAGGAGAGCATGTCAAAGGCATTTTCTAGCTCCCGGAGGCACCCATGAGAGCTGGAGTAGACCTTCCAAGTGACTGAATTGTTGCCCAGATGCATCAGCATTGTGCAAATGAATGAATGACTCTGAATTCAAATGGTTTATGCTTTATAAATGTTACATAGTACCTTTTTCTATCAGAAGCCCAGACATTCCAACACAGGCAGGGTCGTCTAGTCCACCAGTACCTGCACTTGGGTTTGCCTGTGCGTTCTTTCCACTCGGTTCTGGTGGGCTAACAACCTTGGCTAACAACCAAATTCGCTCCCAGCTGCCCAGTGTAGGGCAGAAGAATTTCTTCCTTATATCTAATCTAAACCTAGCCTCTTTTGCTTTAAAGCCACTCCCCCGTGTTTTTTGTCTGCACTTGCTGATAAAGAGATCATAACAATGTGTAACAACCACTGTGATGTAACATATAGACAAGTTAACACCATGTGTTTTTTGTATGATTGAGTGTTGTTGTTGTTGTGTTTTTTTTTTTTTTTTTTTTTTTATTGTTTGTTTTTTCTTTGTTTGTTTGTTCTTTCTTGTTGTTTGTTTTTCTTTTTTTTTTTTTTTCTGTTTGTTTGTTTTTTGGTGGTGGAAGTGGTGATGGCACTTTTTTGTTTGTTTATTTGTTTTTTGAGATATTTTTCCTGTTTCGTTCTTTAAATACAGCTAGGTGAGAAGGTAGATTTATGTTTGCCCTAACAAGAGCTGAATCCTTTTGGACTGGTAACATCAGTAATTTCTCCTGTAAAGCTTGTTTACTGTCTTTACATTTCTTAGCCAGTGGATTTGGTTATCTTTACTGACTTTGATATCTCTTCTTTTTCTTTGTATATTTCTTCTATGGATAAGGATAAAGGGATGGCCAACAGGGCAGACATCCTACTGGGGGTCTGTTAAAGACCAACAAGAGCCAAACAAGGATGAAGAGACAGATGAGGTGTTCTATAAGCAGCTGGCAGATGTTGTGCAATCACCAGCACTTCTTCTCATGGGAGAATTTAACTCCTCATACATATGCTGGAAATACAATACAGCCCTGAGGAAGCAGTCTAGAAGGTTCCTGGAGTGCATGGAAGATAGCTTCCTGACTCAGGTGGCTAGTGAGCCTAACAGAGAGGTTTCCCAGCTAGACCTACTGTTCACAAACATAGAAGGACTTCTGTAGTCAGACCAATTATCCTTGGGGTATTAAGCCTCCTGACCTGGAAGTCTGGGACAAGGAATAGAAGAACCCCCACACACAGTACAGTTGGAAACAGTTACAGAATCACACAGAATCACAGAATTGTAGGAGTTGGAAGGGACCTCAAGAAATCATTGGCTCTGTTATTTGGTATCAAAGAATAACATAATCACAGAATTTCTAGGTTGGAAAAGACCTCAAGATCATTGAGTCCAACCTCTGACCTAACATTAACAATTCCTCCACTAAACCATATCACTAAACTCTACATCTAAATGTCTTTTAAAGACCTCCAGGGATGGTGACTCCACCACTTCCCTGGGCAGCCCATTCCAGTGCCTAACAACCCTTTCGGTAAATAAGTTTTTCCTGCTACCCAACCTAAACCTCCCCTGGTGAAACTTTAGACCGTTCCCGCTCGTCCTGTCACCAGGCACGTGGGAGAATAGACCAATCCCCACCTCGCTACAGCCTCCTTTAATGTACCTATAGAGAGCAATAAGGTTGCCCCTGAGCCTCCTCTTATCCAGGCTGAACAAGCCTAGCTCACTCAGCCGCTCCTCATAAGACTTGCCCTCCAGACCCCTCACCAGCTTCAATGCCTTTTTCTGGACATGCTCGAGCACCTCAATGTCCTGTGTGATTCAGCATAATGTGGGTAGCAGTTGGGATCCAGGCACCCTGAGGGGTAGGATGCAGTGTGTGGAGCCAGGGTATAGGGAGTGGTGGAGGTCTGCAGTGGGAGGGCTGGGGAGAGGGTGATCAGGGCCCCGTGGTGTACCCTAGGAGGATGGCCATGGTAACAGGAACTCCTGCGTTAGCTTTGCAAGCTGCTTCTGGTCTCTAATATCTTGTCTTTTTCACAGGTGGTGGGACTGGATTTGTGGGCAGAGCCCTGACCCATTTGCTTCAGAGCCATGGTCATGAGGTGACCCATGTCTCTCGACAAGGGGGCAAGAATCGCATCAGCTGGGTACGAAATAAGAGTGATTACAGAAGGGAGACATGTCAAGGCTGAGGAACTAGCCTACCTGGCATGGCATGCAGGGAATTTGCAGTGAGGAAACTGTTTCCCACTGATGTACCCTGCATCTCCTAGGTGCTGTACTGGTTGTGGTCCGTTGGGGTGGGTACTGCTGCAGCTCCAAGGAGCAAAATGTTCTCCATTCATGCTTGTGCGACAGGCAGTATTTTACAAAGGTCAGGAAGTAGCTGGCTGGATGTCTTGGGAGCTCATCCTGCTTGGTTGTTGGGAAGGCTTGAGAAGAGGGAAGGCTGGGTGTGTGATGTCTCTGTTACCCCTGCCTAGGAAGAGTTGTCCCGCCTTGGACTGCCCCAGTGTGATGCAGTGGTGAACTTGGCTGGTGAGAATGTCCTCAACACTTTCCACAGGTAATGTAGTGTTGTAACTTAGTGTTCCATAGTGTTGGGGGACAAGGTGAAGGCAAGACAGCCCAATGTTGTCAGAAAATGTGGAGTGGGTCTGGCAAGGGAGTAGGGTGTCCAGAAAGGACAACCTGGATTCCCTGGCTGTTGAAATCTGGGTCTTCAGGTAGCCAAAACATTTCTGTAGGCCTGTTAAGTCCCCTGAGAATTTTAAAAGATGCATTTCCTTCTGGACTGACAGGTGGAGGCCAGGCAAAGTAGTTGCATGTGTCCAAAAAGGCACCAGATGCCTATGCATAGATAATACTTAATAACATGCTTACATAAAGTCAGAACCAAAATGGACTGCAGAAGTTGTTCTTGTATTGATGAGGGTGTTTTTGGAAATGTCTCTTCCAGGTGCTTGAGAATTCACACAGCTTTGGTGCCCACATTTTCTGATGTGTTTGCCCTAAGGGCATCCAAAACCTATAGCCTTTTTTTGGGAAATGGTGAGCTGTGTTCTCCCACAGTTACCATATATTTAGGTAGCAATATTCTATGTCCTCCTTCTACTCTGGGGTGGGGGGAATTTATGTGACATCTCTTGTGCTTGTGAGGTGACCGTGGGGGCTCCCCATGGGGCTATTGTTTCCTGGGATATCCTGGTGGGAAGTATGAGTGGCTCTCCTTTTTCCAGATGGGGTGATGCTTTCTGCAAGGAAGTTATCAGCAGCCAAGTTGAAACCACCAGGACCTTGGCCAAAACCATTGCTGATGCTGACCAGCCACCCAATGCTTGGGTCGTCGTCACCGGCGTAGGTATTGGTTGGGTCCAGCGTGCCTCATGCTGATGAGGAGAGGTGTACCTCCAGACAGAAGCATGCTTCTGGGGAAAATATGTCTTGCCTTGAAATGCCACCTTTATTGCCATCAGTATCGCTGCAACTAGGCAAGGCTTGGTCAGCTTTTTTTTGTACTGGAGTGGAACTTGGATTCTCATGCTTTCACTTGGTAGCATTAGGACAGGACCTAATGCTTTTCCCTGTGAAAGCCTTAAGGCATCTGTAGAACCAAGTTGTCTAAGCAAGGATTCAGCTGAATCCCCCCATACATCTCCAGCTTTGCATTTCTGCTTCCTACAGGGTTTGAAGCTGCTGCGGATTAGCATTTATGACAGACAGGAAGCTCCTTTCTATGCAGCCAGCTCAGTGCCTTGTTTGCTGGTGCATTTGATTCATGGCGTTGCCATCTCAGCTGGAATACTAGCACATGCTGTTGAACCTCTAGAGTGCATTTGTAGTTCGAAACCTAGTGCTGTTCATATGAGGATGTCCCTGGAGACAGGTTTGGGGAGAAGAGGGCCAGCTGATGTTGGGATTCAACCCCAACCCACTTTTTGCTGTTATACCCACAGGCTATTACCGCCCTAGCCCCACAGCTGAGTATACTGAGGATAGCCCTGGAGGGAATTTTGACTTCTTCTCACGCCTGGTGAGCTCCTGGGAAGCTGCAGCTGTCATCCCTGATGGTCAAACTCGTGGTGTTCTGGTGAGATCTGGTAAGACAGGACATCATGCGTGTCTGGAGTGGCTCTGTTTTGGAGCTGGGGCAGTAGGGGAAGGGGTGGGAGAAGTGCATCAGATTATGTATCTTGTCTTGTTGGGGTGTGGTCCCAGGTCCATCCCTCTAAGGATTGTCTCCTGGCTGTAGGTCTGGGGCTGGAGAGGGTCCCTGTCTCACTCTGTTCTTTCCACAGGTGTAGTTCTGGGCCGAGGTGGTGGCGTAATCTCTCAGATGCTCTGGCCATTCTGGCTAGGACTGGGAGGCCCCATAGGGTCTGGGCACCAGCCATTCCCGTGGATCCACATTCAGGACCTGGCTGGGATCATATGTCATGCCCTGGAGAATGAGTGCCTGCAAGGGGTCTTTAATGGTGTCTCCCCATCTTCTCCTGCCACCTCCAACAGCACATTCACTCAGGAGTTTGCTGCAGCCCTGGGACGCCCAGCCCTACTGCCAGTGCCTGCCTGGGCCGTGCGAGCTGTCTTTGGGGTCGAGCGGGCTATTATGTTGTTGGAGGGCCAGAAAGTGGTACCAAAGCGCACCCTGGAGAGCGGCTACCATTTCATCTTTCCTGACCTTTCTGCAGCTTTGAAGGACATTGTGGCTTGAGCATTCCTTGTTCAGGCTGTTTAGGGCCTTGTTTTTGTGGTTCCCTGGCTCATATACCTTCCCTTGGGTGAAAGAGGGTGTCTTTTCCTGTTCTGTCTTCTTTTGTGCATCTCCAGTTTAGGAGACATCCTTCCTATTTCCAACTGCAATCTCCACATCACCTGCTTTTGGTGAAGGGCACGGACCTCTAAGGATTGTGACCACTGAATCTGCCATCTCTTTTCCACAGCATTTATGTGAGCTGCTCACAGAGCACCTTGGGGGAAGGATGTCTCTGCCCCCTGCAAAAGAGGTATGGTAGCAGGGAAGATTTTCAGGTGTTGTAATTCTTCTCTATGTTACTGGAAGTCCCTCTTCCTGTTTTTCCCAATGTCTTTCACCATGTGATCACAAGAGACTTAGTTACGCTCTTCTGTTTTGCTTGTCTCAATCTGATAGGAAATTCTAATTAATTAATTGTATGCTTGTAATTGTGTATTTGTATGTGTTTATATATAAAAAGTCAATAGCAGTAGTCAGTAATAAAGCAGTAAGCATATATACTAATATTACAGTTTATTACAAACAATGCTAGTGAAATTACAAAGAATGCTAGTGAAATAGCAAACATTCTCATTATTGATTACCTATAGGCACATACATACATTCAAAACATAACCAGTACCACCAGGTATGCCTTCTTTGCCTCAGTCTTTAGCGGCAATACCGGTTGTTCTCTGGATACCCAGTACCCTGAGCTGGTGGAAGGGGACGGGGAGCAGGATGTGGCCCTCACCATCCACGAAGAACTGGTTGGTGACCTGCTACGGCACTTGGATGTGCACAAGTCGATGGGGCCGGATGGGATCCACCCAAGGGTACTGAGAGAACTGGCAGAGGAGCTGGCCAAACCCCTATCCATCATTTATCAGCAGTCCTGGCTATCGGGGGAGGTCCCAGCTGACTGGCGGCTAGCAAACGTGACGCCCATCTACAAGAAGGGCCGGAGGGCAGACCCAGGGAACTACAGGCCGGTCAGTTTGACCTCAGTGCCAGGGAAGCTCATGGAGCAGATCCTCTTGGGAGTCATCATGCGGCACTTGAAGGGCAAGCAGGCGATCAGGCCCAGTCAGCATGGGTTTATGGAAGGCAGATCCTGCTTGACGAACCTGATCTCCTTCTACGACAAAGTGACGCACTGGGTGGATGAGGGAAAGGCTGTGGATGTGGTCTACCTTGACTTCACCAAGGCTTTTGACACCGTCTCCCACAGCATTCTCCTCAAGAAACTGGCTGCTCTTGGCTTGGACTGGCGCACACTTCGTTGGGTTAGAAACTGGCTGGATAGCCGGGCCCAAAGAGTCGTGGTGAATGGAGCCAAGTCCAGTTGGAGGCCAGTCACTAGTGGCATTCCACAGGGCTCGGTGCTGGGGCCGGTGCTCTTTAACATCTTCATCAATGATCTGGATGATGGCATTGAGTGCACCCTCAGTAAGTTCGCTGACGACACCAAGTTAGGTGCGTGTGTCGATCTTCTTGAGGGTAGGAAGGCTCTGCAGGAGGATCTGGATAGGCTGCACCGATGGGCTGAGGTCAACTGCATGAAGTTTAACAAGGTCAAGTGCCGGGTCCTGCACCTGGGGCGCAATAACCCCAAGCAGAGCTACAGGCTGGGAGAGGAGTGGTTGGAGAGCTGCCAGGCAGAGAAGGACCTGGGAGTGATGGTGGACAGTCGGCTGAATATGAGCCAGCAGTGTGCTCAGGTGGCCAAGAAGGCCAACGGCATCCTGGCTTGTATCAGAAACAGTGTGACCAGCAGGGCTAGGGAGGTGATCGTCCCCCTGTACTCGGCTCTGGTGAGGCCGCACCTCGAGTACTGTGTTCAGTTTTGGGCCCCTCGCTACAAGAAGGACATCGAGGTGCTTGAGTGGGTCCAAAGAAGGGCGACGAAGCTGGTGAGGGGCCTGGAGAACAAGTCCTATGAGGAGCGGCTGAAGGAGCTGGGCTTGTTCAGCCTAGAGAAGAGGAGGCTCAGGGGTGACCTTATTGCTCTGTATAAGTACATTAAAGGAGGCTGTAGCGAGGTGGGGGTTGGCCTGTTCTCCCATGTGCCTGGTGACAGGACGAGGGGGAATGGGCTAAAGTTGTGCCAGGGGAGTTTTAGGTTAGGTGTTAGAAAGAATTTCTTTACTGAAAGGGTTGTTAGGCACTGGAATAGGCTGCCCAGGGAGGTGGTGGAGTCACCATCCCTGGAAGTCTTCAAAAGACGTTTAGATGTAGAACTTAGGGATATGGTTTAGTGGGGACTGTTAGTGTTAGGTTAGAGGTTGGACTCGATGATCTTGAGGTCTCTTCCAACCTAGAAATTCTGTGATTCTGTGATTCTGTAACAAATCAATCCCCAAAGTGGGGATCAAGCTGTCTTCAAAGTGGTCTAACTAGGAAGACCACCCTCAGAAAGGGGTTAGTAAAGAAAGCTGACCTTAGAAAAGTCCATTTTCAACTTGACAGTTTTATTTTGCCAAATGGTATGCAGAAGATAGTTAAATGAGGGGATAAACAGCAACAACAAAGTAAATCCTACTTCACAGGTAACTATATTTGTTTATTTAGAGCATGCTACAAAGGGTGTTATGTAAGGACTGAGGACACTGTGACCTGTACAAGCACACGGAGGAGAAGAAAATGGTCAGGTAGTTCACCAAGGGAACATCACACTTGACTAAGCCAATAGACTTCTATGATGGAATGACTAGCTGGGTGGATGAGTGGAGAGCAGTGGATGATGTCTACCTTGATATCAATAAGGCTTTTGACTCTCTCCCATAACGTACTTGTAGGCAAGCTCAGGAAGTATGGGGTGGATGAGTGGACAGTGAGGTACACTGGCTGGATGGAAGAGCTCAGAGGGTTGTGATCAGTGACACTGAGTCTAGTTGGAGGCCTGTAGCTAGTGGTGTCCTCCAGGGGTCCGTATCAAGTCCAGTCCTGTTCAATTTATTCATCAATGACCCGGTTGGTGGAATAGAGTGCACCTCAGCGAGGTGCAGCTGTTGTCAGCGAGTTTGCTGACAACACAAAGTTCAGAAGAGTGGCTGATATCCCAGAGAACTGTGCTGCCATTCAGAGGGACCTTGGCAGGCTGGAGCCTGTCAAGGTGAACATCATGAAGTTCAACAAGGGCAAGTTCAGGGTCCTGCACCAATGGAGGAATAACCCAAGGTGCCAGTACAGGTTGGGAGCTGACCTGCTAGAAAACAGGCCTGCGGAGAAGGATCTGGGAGTCCTGGTAGACAGCAAGTTAACTGAGCCAGCTATGTGCCCTTGTGGCCAAGAAGGCCAACGGTATCCTGGGGTGCATTAGGAAGAGTGTTGCTAGCAGGTTGATGGAGGTGATCCTCTTCCTCTACTCAGCCCTGGTGAGGCCTCACCTGGAGTACTGCATTCAGTTATAGAAGGGGGACATAGAGCTCCTGGAGCAAGTCCAGCAGAAGGCTACAAAGATGATGAGGGGAGTGGAGTACCTCTCATACGAGGAGAGGCTGAGAGAGCTGTGTCTCTTTAGCTTGGAGAAGACTGAGAGTGGGTCTTATTTCAATGAGTACAAATACCGGAAGGGAGGGTGTCAAGAGCATGGGGTCAGACTCTTTTCAGTGGTGCCTAGCAACAGGACAAGAGACAACGGGCACAAGTTGAAACACAGACATTTCCAGCTATTGAGGAATATTTTTTTACTGTGAGGGTGACAGACCACTAGAACAGGTTGCCCAGAGAGGTTGTGGACTCTCTTTCTTTGGATATATTCAAAACCTGCCTAGATGCCATCCCATGCAATGTGCTCTAGGTGATCCTACTTGGCAGGGCGGGCAGATGATCTCAAGAGGTCCCTTCCAACGCTGCGGTGCAGTGCCTTCTTGGATATTAGTGGAGACTTTGTGGATGGAGCTATATTTAGCATATTCTGCATCTACATTGTCTATGAAGTACACACTCCAGTAAGAAAACCATGTTCTCTGAAATCCTGTTTTTTCAACAAAAGGAATTAATATTTCTCAACAAGGAATTATTTGGCCAATTCTACTTGAGAGGCAAAACAAGAGGTAAATTACAGGGCAAGTAAGGGCCAAGACAGAAAAAACGGCACAGTTTATTTCAACTCAAAGTAGAAATTGTGTTAGTTGAATCTCTCCCTAGAAATGCCTTTTGCAGGAATCCTTAGGAATCCATAGGATTCTATGTTGCAGATGCCTATAACTGTATAGAGAAACACTACAATCAATGTGTGGTGAGGTACTAGAAGAGGTTGCCCTGGAAAGTTGTGGATTTCCCATCTCTGGAAGTGATCAAGGACAAGCTGGATGGGGCTTTGAGTAACTTGGTCTAGAGGGTGGCATCCCTGCCCATGGCAGAGGGTTTGAAGTTAGATCATCTTTAAGGTCTCTTCCAGTCCAAATATATGATTCTATGCCTCCCATAAGACCATAACCACATTGCCTTTGATTTTCACTTAACAATTTCAGTGGACTAGCTATGTTGGATGAGAAGCAAAAGCTTGCCTACAAACTAGAGAAAACTTCTTAAAGATTATTGATTATATATTATGCTCTTACATAATGTACATCATGGAGTTGCTCCTAAGAGAACTTTATTAACAAACAAAACAACAACAGTTTAATTTACTTTAAAATACTTGTTTGTTTGTTTGTTTGTTTTATTTTTCCACACGTAAGAATGTATTTGGTGACCAGCTTCCACACTGAGCTTCTGATCTCCTTGTTACACAGGGTATAGATCATGGGATTAGTCAGGGGGAAGATGACTGTATGGAAAAGAGCAACAACCTTTTCCATTGGGACAGCTCGGAAGGGTAAGACATAGATATACATAGCTGGGCCACACATGACAAAAACCACAATGATGTGGGAAACACAGGTGGAGGCAATTTTGCTCTTTGTCTTGGAGGACTGTGTCCGGAGCTTCAGCAGCAGGACAGTGTAGGAGATGAGCAGAAGTGAAAAGCACATGACAATGACAACTCCATTGTTGAGAAACATCAAAAGTTCCACTGTGTGAGTATCAGCACAGGCCAATTTAACCAGCTGATGGACATCACAGAAGAAGTTGTCCAGGATGTTGGGGCCACAGAAGGGGAGAGCAATGGTAAGAGCAAATAGAGTGATGCCATGGATGAAGCCCCCTGCCCATGAAGCTCCAACCAGGACATAGCATACTGCCCTGTTCACAAGCCTGGTGTAGTGAAAAGGTTTGCAAATGGCTACATAACGGTCATAGGCCATGGCCATGAGCAGGAAAGCTTCAGCTGCTCCCAGGAAGTGGAGGAAGAAAAGCTGGGCCATGCAAGCATTGTAGCAGATTGTCTTCTGGTGTGAGAAAAAGTCAGCCAACATTTTAGGTGGGG